TATGAAATGAGAATATCGCATTTGTAAAATGAGACATATGAACCGTTTTACGAGGGTTATACTCACAGATATGCACAGCAAACTAGAGATAGATATTTGGAGGAATGCAAACAACAAAGGCAACGATAAATTTATTTATGTTATTCCAGTTTATTGAAGTGCAGTGCAGAGAATACTGAGTTGAAATTAAATAAATGCTATCTCACTTGTAGTACTTTGAATAAAAGTAATGCTCATGAAATCAGATGCTGAATCAGCACTTTTGACTACCAAGTATTGAATATTTAGATTATCGACAAGAATATTCTTTTGTATTTTAGTAGGTGGTAAATTTGAGCTGTCATTCTTCATTGCTCGGCTGAACATAGTATTAATTATCTTTCTATATGTGCTTGTGTAATAAGAATATCTATTTTAGTTAGGCTCACGTAAGACTTATGCTTTCTGTTCACGTCTTCAAAGGTTGACACTCAAAGATAAATAAACAATAACTCATTTTCTATTCTTTCGTGTTGTACTTTTCCTTTTGACAAACATTCAATTTAAAAGAAGCCTAAGTTCATTTTTCCAATGACCTTTGGTAAGTGTCTAGAAAAATGCATATCAAATAGTTCAACTTTTCACCCATAGCGTGATTTTTCTCTAGCCTTGTATTCTCAAGGTTCTGGACTTGTCTGATTTCTAATTGGTTGAATTACGTTCAGTTTTAATCAACCTATCATAGTAGACTAATTTTTCACCCCTATGATCTAGATGTATAAAGCACTCATCACGAACTACTTATTGAGAGAACGACGAAGTAATTATTCTTTCTCCGCGGGTAAGTTGGTAGTTACAAGGTATATTGTCGGTTTTCTTTTTACTATTCAGGAAATGACTAAATTGAGTAATTTATCAGGGAGTAATGGAAATGAACATTTGTTTTTAACCTATAAAACATCATAAATTTTAATTCATTTAACTACCATTTTTGTGTGTTTTGGATAACTTCATTTTTGTTTTAATATGCTAACGATTGATTTATTATACTGTTAATTGACTTATTGAATATTATGACATTCATTGGTAATATACAACAACACTTACCTATACTGCAAAATTGAATGAAATAATAGCCTTGTTTCATGTACCCTTGAAGATTTAGCTCAACCCTTGATGAATATACATTTTTATTTTGTTTGTCCGTTAGTGAATTGGTTAGATACGTCTTCCGGTTACTTTCTCAAGCTTCCCTAATCGCGTAAAATGTAATATTCCACAAACATCAATAACTGGTTTCTTAATTTTACTGTCTGACTAAAGTCAGTAGTTTTAGGACATTGAGTGCTACCAAATAACCCTTAACGACAGAGATCTTGAACCATATCAGTTAAGACTGTTCACACCAATGCTATGGTCAGTCACTTTATGTAATAAAACTAATTTACTGAACCTCTTATTTCTACATTTAACTTCTCGAAGAACTAGACTTGCTACCTTATTTTTAATCAAATATACGACATGCCTTAATCATAGATTTTATTTAAGGTCACTACCGGTCATTTTGTTTTTTATCTATAAAGGTTTGCTGTGATAATTGTGGGGTCAGTTTCACGTGAAGATAACTTTTCAGGGTAAAATAAAAATCTTGAATTATGTGAACCGGTATATTTGCTAGATTTTTAGGTTGGAAATTGTTAAAACAATCCGTATTATTCGAACGACTACCGACTTGTCAATACTCATCGTTCGCCATAAATGAAAGTCCACAAACTGCGTAGAAATAATATCTAAACTGTCACTCTATGGTGCAATTGTGAAGCGAAATTTCATATATGTATGTATACATATATATCAGGTACTTTCACAAAAGTTACTTTCTCACTCACGGTTGTTTTGACGTTAATCGTTACCAAATAGAAAAGTGCTCACAAGAAAACTAACCATCATTGATATCCTACTTTTTAACAGGAGCATACGTCGAAAGCTAGTTTACTAAATCTTTTGAATATTTTGGTTAGCAAAAGGATGCGTCGTTTTTTTTATCATTTGCGATCCAAAACTAGTTGAGAATAATCCTTAATACATTATTCCTAATCAATAACTGATACAATTCATATGACATGTACGCATAACTCAGATAAATAATCTATTACGGTTACATCGGTGTCAAGAATGTTTAGTTGAACTGGTGTTTTCAAACATTAAGATTAAATGAAGCTGTCACATGTGCCTAACACATCAATCATTATTCATAGTAGGTTATTTTTTAATGCTTATTTTGTTAGAATAATCAATAAAACTTGTGAGACAACTGAGTATTTATTTGAAATAAGTGTTTATCTATTCCCAATTATATCTGTTATGCAATCAATGATTATGAAAGGCTAATGGGCAGGATTAGAATTGTATGAATATTGTCAAATTCATTTTAATTGACCAAAATATTTATTTCAGACAATGCGTGCAATGGTTTAGATTTACAATTGTATTCATTCTACTGTTTTCGAGTATTTTTCCAAGTCTTTATAAACATTATTTCGTTCGTAAACAATCGATTTCATAAAATCATTGTTATTAGTCTTGTAATCTACTTAGAACAATGAAAAGTCTTACGTTCTTTAATCATATGACGAAAAATCCACTATTCGAATAGATTGACGATGATTCAATTGTTTCCAGTGCTGAAATACAAATAGTTGGATACAGTGTGAACAGAAAAAAACCATGATATAAATATATGCGTCTATTAAGGATTGGCTTTAGTAGTATATTGAACTATAGGCTTTATCAGCGAATTTATTTGATAGAAATTGATAGCGATTTTGGATAATAAAACTCAAAACCGAATATCTTTAATTCTTTGCTTATACACGTGTTGTATTGACCACTAGTTATTTTTGGTATTTATTTATATATTGGAAATTATCTTTTATATTCTTCCCTGAATACCTTAATTTTTCATCCCTTTTTTGTCCAAAGTATGCAGACCTGTGAATGTATTTATAGTTCGGTAAAGAAATATCACATTTGTCTACATCATCCAGATCTCATGAATAAAAATTAGGTTGACGCAGATATACTTATTTTCATTACCTAGTAGGGTGTCTTCTTAACAGAATCTTCTCCCTCACTCTCTAAATATGTATATATACATCTTCTGAATGCTGACACTTTCTACATAAACTCAATTAATGACAATGTAATCACTGTTATTAACATGTCTTGCTTTTACTATCGGATTCTCTTATACTTTGTTCACAACATTCTTGTAGCACATGATTTTAGCAAATAAATATTAAGTGTTTGGTTTTTTCAAAACACTAGGTGCGCTATTATTATCATTATTATTATTACTTTAGTCAGGTTTTTAGTAGAAAAATATTTAAATAGGTTGTGTAATTAGTAAATTCTGTCTCACGGATCTTACTGAACTTTCATTGCTTGTAAGCCAGTTTTTACTTCTATTTGGTATATATATATATAATGATACTATACTCTTCACAGCATACGTCATAGCCTTGTAAATACCACGTTAGTGTAAAATCCAAACGATTAAGACAAAAGTCAGTTTCTACTTAACATACCACAATTTCATGCTGTTATTTTCATTAACTTTGTTTGATAGTCTTTTTCATTATTTTTTGACCTATATAATAGTTATTTTTCTCTTTTCCTCTGTAAATGAATCCAGGTTTCCTCTAGTTTTACTTTTCATTTTAACTAAAACTAAATTGTGTGAATAAGGTGTTCTGTTGTATGGATATATGTACTTGTAACACTGAATGATTTTTATAATACTGTTAGTGATATCACTCATTTGCTTTTATGGATAATGGATTTATCCAGATTAGAGCTTTTCTATTAATAATTTACGCATTCTGTTTAGAAAAATTCCTTTCCACCCTGGTTTTCCCTAAACTTTTGTCAACAACATGCTCACTAGAAAACAAAATAAAACAATCATCTTGAAGTTCATTACTCACTGAAAAGCAATCTGGTGAATATCTCAGATACACGAAAATAATTCCTATCGACCATTTCCCCACTTAATAAAACATAAGTAAAAATATACAATTTTGTAATCCAGTCCATATTTTTGAACTGTTCTATTCCTATATCTATATAAAAATGTATTTGTTAGTGTCTACATTGGCATATTACAAGACAAATGTTTATTATGATGTTAATACCCATGTAATAAATTTGTTTTAGGCTGTTTATCAGAGTATATTGCGTTAGTCTGCTTCTGTTTGCTACATCACTGCTGTTCTATATCCCATTGTTTTTAACTAAAGTACTATTCCGACCATAAGGGTCATTTGATGATTGCATACGCTTCCGTTAAAATTTGTACAACAGACTCGCACCGGTGACAAAATCGAGACACTTGATGCTTGGTGAAATATTGGTTACATTTAAATAAAATAAATATTTATGTATATATTCTAGACTTTGAAGTCCATTAGTCTACATAGCCTCACTACTTTGTTGTGTGTATCATGCTTTTACAAGTAATTGAGCTGAACATTCCTATAAAAGTCACAAAACATTTCATTAGTGTTTCATTAATACATAATGTCTATATCAAATCCATGATTTGGTCGTTTTTCTCTAGCTGTATTGAAATAAACAAATGTGTAACCCTTCTTAGAATTTTAATCGTTTGTTGTTTTTGATTTCTGTGAATCCTTAAACTGATAAGCTTTTCGCACCTTACTTTCGAATGCAATACGAAAATTCGATCCTTCTTTATATGTTCGAAAACAGTTTGTTTCCACTCTAAGCCTACCCTGCCAACATTGATTTATTATCCAGAATGGTGTTTCATTTATTGTCTTTGTTTCTCCTTACCTTCCGATTTGTCTAGCTGACCTTTTGTTTTTTCAGATATATTCTTAACAAGTTTACGTGATCAGATTATTCGAAATGTACTACACTAATAATATTCACCATATCGCGTTATCCAGACTTATCAAGAATTAACTAATTGTTTTAAATTTTATTGTTAACTCTTGTAGGTCTACAGAAATTTCTGTTCGTAAATTCACGTCTATATGACTTTGATATTTTCAACAGCTATTTGATTCTTTTACATACATCCGCTCAGTTCATTGTTTTAGTATCTTATATCATCATCGATTCGCAGCTTACATTCCACTGGATTTTACATATTACTACTGATAAACTCTTCTTCAATAACAACTTACCCGCACATAAATAATGGCTCGTATATCGAAACCTAATCGTATTTGCATGATTTTATCCACAGTTGCATTGCTTTTCTTGTCCCTGATGTGTATAATCGGGTTATTTATATTCAACTATTTATTTGCTAGTCTGATTTCCAGGGTGAGTTTTTGGTTTGTCTTTTATATTATACACAAATATCCACATCTTTCCAGACATTTGTTTTTGTACGGATAGAAATGGTTAGGAATGGTATTTCTATTACAAAACCTATATTACCTTAGGCGAAACGTCTGTATATAGTTTGAATTTTTCTATAAAGTGAGTTACACAGCTAAAATCTGTTTAAAATCCTATCTTACCTCTAGCAAATACCATATATACTTCGGGGCTAGCTGAGAAATACCAATCAGTGGTTACTGTATGACTGCCGTCATCTGAAGGATAGATGCGTGAAGTGTTTTACCCTTCATGTAGTTCATCAACTAAAAAATCATGATAGGATTCAGAATTGAAACCAATAGTATTTGTAGTTTATTATTATTACTATTACTTGTCTTTTATAGGAAAGCAGCAAAAGCGACATGAGTTTCTGTGTAATTACTCCCATTACTCAATCCTCTCTTTTTATATCTTTTTGCTACATTTTCCCTTAACGTCACTTGCGAGGTATCATAATATATTTTAAAATAAACTACTAGCATACATAATTTTAGAGCTTAGATTAATTAATTTCGCCTCTGTGATAGAATACCTCTAAGTGACACACTTGTTGATACTGGTCTCAAATTAAAATAGATGAATCTTATTTTCCACGTCAAATTACCCTTGTTAACAGTGTAATCAATTTTATTCACTGACGACCTCACATTTGTATATCCAAAAGCATAATTAAGAATCTAACTACTGAGTATTTTCGCCGAATTATGAATTTGTTTACTTCTCTTGTATATTGTAGAAACTTGCTATTTTACCCGGTAGTGAAATTTTTGATAACTGGAAATCACCAAGTGTCCCTGTGTATTTTTCCATATATCTGTATAATTTGACTAATCCTCAAGAAGTTCTAAATGGTGGTCGACCAAGATTTACTGAAGTTGGCCCTTACGTTTATCGGTTAGTTTATTTGTTTGATAGTTAATGTACTCTACAAGTCAATATTCTTTATGGTTAACGAGATTTGAAACTTTTACTTAATGTCTTTTCGTGCGTAGCGTTTCCTTTATCTAATATGGCATCAATGACGATAATGATTACTTTTAAATTTTGAATACAGCGAGGATCGTCAACGTAACAATGTAGAATTTTCTGGAGAATCTCCTCCGAAAACTGTAAAATATCAACACAGGATTTTCTACTACTTTCAACCTGACCTCTCTGTCGGCCCTGATGATCAGGGAATCGTTACAAGTCTTGATCTGGTAACAGTAGTAAGTTTCATAACACTTTCTTTAAATTAATTGTTACAACTTTATTTTTATGTGTTGCCACTTATTTAATTTAACAAAGTATGCTCATTTAAAGTTTGTTTTAAAATGGTACAACTCTACCTATGGCCCTTCTAGGGTTACTGCCGGTCACAAGCCCGGGTAAAGGTGGAGGGTTGAGCATGTGGTTAGCAACCCCATCCCGTAGAAAACAACCTTGCTCAAAAATGCTAACCATTTAAACTCTGCCCTCCGAGTTGAAAGAAAAATTATGACGCCACATGATGAAAGCCGAGATTCTTCGGAAGTCACAAGGCCGATGCCCCTTCTAACAACCAGAACAACAATCGATATAGGTAAATAGAATATTCGGACAATATAAGAAATCGGAAGGACCAGTCGAATAGCTGCGGCAATGAGCAGATACAACTTGATGTTTCAATGAAATCCACTGAAACAAAGCTGGACTGAAAACGTTAGATTCAGGTGAAATGCTGTTGTACTCTGATCATTGAGAAAAAAAGCCACACACTCACAAGGAGTTGAACTGATGCTGTCCAAAGAAACATGTAAAGTACTTATAGGATAGGGAATCTCATGGATCCATAATCATCAAAGCATCGTTCAAAGCAAAGAAGGGGGGAATCTTAACGAGTGTTATCCAATGTTATGCACCCACCAGTGATAGCAACGACGATGCTAAAGACCAGTTTTATGAGACGCTGCAGTCTATCACAGTGAATTGCTCAGGAAAAAACCTGACCATCCTGATGGGAGACCTAAACGCCAAAGTCGGAATGGATAACACCGGGTATCAATATATCATGGGACGAAATAGACATGCACATTCAACAAAATGGTTAAAGGCGGCACAATATTCTGATACAAAGCTACCTGGGTGACACCGGATCACACTACAAAGAATCAGATCAATTATATTTGCATCAGTAAAATATTCAGAAGGTCAATAAAAGTCGTGAAAATCAGGATATGAGCTGACATAGCATCAGGTCACCCGGTTGTGGCCAAGATGAAATTGAAGTTAAGGAGATACTGGACAACTGGAGAAACAGCATTATAAAGGTTCAATACAACTTTATTTTGACATACTAACAAAATGAACTGATTGTTGATTAATAAACTGTATCTTTCTAGATGGTTGTACATCCTTACGCTTGTCGTTTGTCATATCGACTAGTTCATTTACTTAAAATCATAACGAATCCAATGAATAAAAACTATTATGTAAGTTTATGCACTGATGGAAATATTTTAACTCAAGACTGGTTATTATCTATCTTGATACATATAGTTTGTGGAAAAGCTGACTGATTGTTATCCGGTGACTCATTATTTACTGGTGCAGTTAACTCGCTTTAAGCAGATAGTATTAACCTTTGGAAGACAATTATTGAACTACTAAGAATTCTGTTGTACCTATAATTTGTTATTTCTGTTTTTCTAGTTGTTGTCACCTGTTTTCTCCGAAATTTAATTATTGTGCATTCATCTTTGAAAGTTTCAGAAATAGGTGATCAAACCAGCGAAACGCTTGTAAAATTTTCGTTTGTCGCATTCCTTTTATCATATCAACCTTACGTTTTTTGTGTTACTGTAGGCCATAAATAATCTTCCGGGATACTACAAAATGATATTTTTTTTATACACGTTCAACGCATTCATTTCAAAGACACCTCGTGAAATCATCTGGGGTTACCAAGATCCACTGATGTCTGTTTGTCTAACTTCTAAAGTTTGTGACACAGATCGTGCTGGCTTAATGGCTATGGTAATTTGCTTTTACCCACAAATTTTGATTTTATTTATTATACACTGCTAGATGTTCTGTATTTTGAACCTACTCTTTGATTATTACTATACTTAATATATATATAGAAAACTGGTGAAGGTCACATTCACTTTAGTTTTCATATCCTGAAATTCCTAATTCGTTCCACTGTGGTCTACTTATGTCGTTGAAAACAAATGATATACTAAACGCAGCGAATTACTTGTTATGTGCTTCCTTGAATTTAGCAGTCTTATGATTGTGCTGCTTATCGTAACCTTTATGTAGATTCATATGTGCGGTTGACATTAAAACGACTGGATTTTTTTGCTTTACGCCTAACAATCAATTTTGAGAGTAAATATTAAAAAAGTAGTTATTGGTTTAGGTCTTATCGAAATATGTGCTCAGTATATCTGGATGCACACTTTATTTTAGCCCAGATATATGAAGACAGTAATGCTGAGAAACATATTATATATGTCTGTAACCACGCTACTAAAATGCCAATCGCTGCGCAAATAATTGACTCTTATATTCATCTATAAACAACAATAATAACTGATTATGACATTTTGAAAATCACTAATATTATTAGGCAACAGACAGGTTTGAGGAGTGTGAAGACGGAAGGTGTGAAAAATTATTCATCAATACGTTGTTGGGTGTGAATAATAAAGTTAAACCACGGCTGTTTTGTTGTCATCCCAAGGATGCTGAGGCAAATAATTATACATAAGTAAACATTTATAAAATACAGACTAACGATACTTATCGAGTAACTGGAGTGTCTTAGTTAATGTTTGTGAAGCGTTGCTCAGTTTTAAGATGTTTTCTAAATAAAATCCAAGCCTTCGATGGACATCCAAAACCAGGAGAACAAAACAGCTGTTTTGAGAACTTATAGAAATGCACATTATCGAACCACAGACTTGCAATATTCGAAGATTTTACACTGCTGTTAAACATTATAGTCAATATTTTCCAAGGTATTTAATATGTACGTATATCTATTACAGTTATATTCTATTCCTGAAACTGTAGATAAGCATTGAGTGACAGCAGTATTTATTTACTGTTGAAGAATTACTTTCATAAAAAGAGGAACCTATGTAGGATGTTAACAATATCAACTCATTGTATGAGAAAGGACACATTACTTTGTTGAATTGCTCATATATTGCTTATATATTTTGTAAGTAAATGATTAGTTATCTTTTGTTGCATTATTAAAAAAAATTGAACCACCGAGGTCTTGAATCAGTTGAAATCTCTTTTTCAAAATCCCTCGTATAAATAGTTCTGGACTATAATAGTCAATAAAATTATTTTTTTGTAGCAGTTACCACAGTTAATTTAGTACGTGGTTACTACATTATAAAGAAGGTTTTGGAATAATAACCTTTCACCTGACAGAAAAATAAATACTCTAACTTGTTAAACTTTTTAAAAAGAATAAACTGAATATTACGCAACTATCGATATCGGTATCTAGAAAAAAAGGTGATAATCAGTGTTTTTCCTAACTAACTATTACAAGATGTCTAACGCTAAGCATGGAAATTCACATCATCGTCAATATTTCACTTTGATTTATCAGATTGAATACATGATTTTATAACTATTTTAAATCGAACACCAATGAACATCTCAGTTCAGTCTCAAGATATGCAATAAACTCTAAGAACAGAATCCTAATAGTACTCTCAATTGCTTCAGCATGTACAAATTAAACAGTTATGTTACTGGGATCTCATGCGTATATTTTTACTTTTCAAATATGAAGTCTTTAAAAATGTTTTATTTTATTTACATATCTGTAAAATTAATGATGAACCAATTAGTTAGTATGTTTCAATGAGTTATATTTACTCTAATTATCATAAAGCTGTGACTTGGAATTTTAAGAATAACACTCTATTTTGTATATATTTTTAAGGTCACTTATTTCCTTCTTTCACCTCTAGAACAATGGTACAAAAGTTGCTGATTTCGTGATTGATACCGGTGCTTACAATATTTCAAACGTCGGGAAAGTGCTACAATACAATGGAGTAACGTAAGTATATGTATAGAAATGTATCAGTAACTTTATTAGCTATATCTATAGCTTTGTAATTAAGAGAATCAACTTTCTTTAATTCAATTGGGTATTCCATACAGTCTATTTATATCAGCTGGGACAGCCTGAGAATATTGCTTGATCGAAAGGTGAAAAAAGTAGAACAATACAGTTCTATAAATAAATAAATACATATGTTCAATATTTGTTCTGCCTAATTTGTAACTCTCTACTGTTAAGATCTATAAGATTTCTTCAAGATTAGGCAGTTAGAAGTTATTAGTTTACATCTCAGATAATATGCTTCATGTTCACGTTGTACAGCAATCTAAAGGATGTTACAGCTTTGTATTTAGTTTGCTCTGTTTTCATCTAGAATGATTATGAAATTTTTTAACAATTTGCCATTAATTAACACATCTCAAAAGATTTTTGGACAATTAATGTTTTAGTCCAAAAATTTCAATTCCCTATGGGTGTATATACATCTTTTCAGTGCTTAACTTTGAAGACATTTTATGTAAAAAAAATAGTATGCACTTAATGATCATAGCCTAACCTTCTGTTATTACTATTGAAGTGATATATAATGTGTGCGTTCTAAGTGATTAGATATTTGTGATAGGTCTTTCTTGAGAATATTGCTACTAATATGATACCTATTTTCGTAAGGTGATTTTACTCTGAAAAAGCTACAAACTGTATACACATCAGCAACAATATAGAAATCTAATTAACGCATGATTATTTCTTCCGTGTCAATAGTTCAGTGAGTTTTTTCCACTTACACTGTGATTATTCAAAAGATGATCATATAATCAGTAATCTCATTGAAAATCACTCAGTAAATAGCTGTACATCATTTCTGACAGTCGTTAAATTTATTATATGTGATAATAATTTCATGTAATATAATATATATTATGCTTTTATCTTGTTCTTATTCAGATCTTTGAACTATTGGCGTACGGATTACGCTAATATGATAAATGGCACAGGTACGATAGTTTCTAGCTAAATGTTAAATTGATTTTACACTTTCATCATTATGAATATTCGAATAGCGTTTTCATATCTCATGTACAGCTTATAAACTTGATTATCTCCTAATCAACTCTTAAAATATGCACACTAACAGCTGTTAAAAAAACTTAAATTTTCAAGTTGATATTTAAATTTCCCGAACTTAGCATGTAAATATCCTAATGTCAGTCAGTCAGCTACAACGTAGGACCAAACGCATCTATACATCGGTCCAAGTTGCTACACCTCATTACCACAACACGATGAACAAAAAATCCATAGAAATAGTTAATTCAGTGGTAGTAACATATGAAAGAAAGATTGCATATAATGATATAATACAGGAAGAAAGAATCAGTTCGTAGAAAAAAAGATATAAAGCAACTTTAATCTCATGGTTTAAAGGAAGATAGAAAGTGTATACACCTATGTCATTGTGATCGATTCTGAGCTATTTCACTCAGAGTCACCAACGATTGGTTACGATAGTCGCGCGGATCTCAACAAAGTAATGACTTCAAGGAATGATGTCACATTTTTGTTTGGCCGCCCCTAACTTTCAACCGTTTCCTACACTAATAATACCCTAATGCCTTACGCCTGTTACTCTTCGTGGAAGAACATAGGCCGCCCATCAGCATTCTCGATCGAACTCTATCCTGGGCAATCCTTTCCAGTTGTTTCCATCCTTTTGCTGTGTGCTTCCAATTCTATACACTCTCCGGCCTTCCTCCACCTGTAACTCTTCTAGGGTTAGTGCCGGTCCCAAATCCGAGTAAAGGAGAGTTGGGCATGAAGTCAGTAACCCCATCCCGTACAATACAACCTTGCTAAAGAATGCTAACTAGAATAAACATATGAAACCTAATGCCTACTGAGATGCTTAATTTGAAAGCAAAGAGCAGTAAGCGGACGAGCTTGGTAAACATGGTGAATCATTTTAATCGTAGATAAAGCGTCGTCAACTGAGATGAACAAAATATGTTTAAATATCTAGTGCCACTATTTTCCCTAGAGCATTATGTCAGTTACCACAAAAGTAGGTCATATAACTGATAATTCTTCTAATTGATTTACCATAACAGCTAGGATTGTGACTTAATTTTATCTTTCTGATGAATATTGAGAATTTTGAAACTGGAGAACGAAATTTCTCAATTGTTTCCTATATCAAATATTACTACTACTAATTTTCTTTACTTTCAGATGGGAGTGTTATACGGCCAGGATTACAAATGTCTTCTCGAATATCCTTTTTTGTGCCAGATTTCTGCAGATCCTTTCATTCAGATGCTGTGGGTTGGGCGACTGCAACTCATGACAGTAGTGTACATGTAAGTATCGGTATCTAATAATTACACGAGTAGAATATCAGATATACTGAAAAGTATCCAATAATTCTCGTATTTGTTTCTACTTGTGTGTATTCTATTATTTTCTCTAATATCCTAACTAAAATAAAAATCGTTTTTCCCACAGCCCTTTCGCATTTTGTTACGGAGACAATTATATATTTCATTGTCTTAACACCGTTGTAGGAATGTCTTCGGCGTCGATTTGTGAGTTAACAGAGAAAATACATTTCAAAATTTAGAAATCTAGTATACAGGTAATCACTTATGATCTAAATTAAATGAATGGATACCACAACAAAACTGATAAATTTTAAATTCTGTCTTGTGCACCTACGACGACTGATTATCTGCTTCTAATAGGGTGTTAGAAAGTAATCTTTAGTTCTCAACGAAGACCTTAATTTGTGTTCCTATTATGTTTCAATCTCAGATAGCTAAAATTAGCCACATTAATGAATACTTTACATTTTCCTGTTAACATTGACCGAGTGTGTGCTACGCATGTGCTAATAACACTGCTAAGTGTTCTATGTTATATTACTCAGCATAAAAGACATTTCAACTCAGTCAAAATAGAATAACTGTTTTGTTGTTTCCTTGCCTCATCCTAGACTCTTTGTCAAAGAGGCGACAAATGATTGTGTAAAAAGAAAAGGAATGTGTATCGCAAGAACATTTAACATTTAAACACTCTTTTAACTTTTCAGAGAAATGATAAAACAGAATCATGTAAAACCTTTTGCGTGAACTTAAGTTGTTCCACACAAAGTGTCAATGAAGATTGGTAGACATTTTGAATTTGACTTGACGATAAATCTGACAAATTACAAACATACTTAATATAGTAGGGTGGTTAAGGATGTTTTTCGAATGTTTAAGTCAAACTACCAAATCTTATAGAAACTTGAACTAAATGGTTTTAGAAATTCAATATTCAAAAGTGTTTATTTTGTGCATATTGCTGATCAAATAGAAAGAGAATGTAAATGCTGTTTCCTTAACAGTCTGTTATCATTAAATTCAAAAAGACAAATAACTAGAACCTCTTACAAATTTTGTTGATTAACTGTTTACACTGAATTCGCTTGACTGTCAGACTATAATATAGTACAACTTGAATTTTTTAGATTTATTCATTCAAAACTTCGTTTTGCTTATACTATAGGATAGATATCGTTTTTAATGAGATCCTTAAGATTTTCCATTAGCCGTTATCTCTAGTTATTGGGTCACTAATCAACTAGACTATTTTATGCGCTTACACACACGTAATATCTATGGCTTAGTGTAGCGAATCGGTCAATCGTGGTTACTGAATTTCATTGATTTATTTTTTATATTTATCTCAGTCATTGGATTTATTTGCTGCTATATTGATGTTTTACTTAAATGGTTCACACTCCCACACTGGGATCATTTATACAGTGACGTGAGAATGCAGGGTAAAAGGGAATTTTCGGAGACCAAAGCAAATGCGAATTGGTAAATATTTCTGTGATGATGATAACTTTTTGTCTATTTCATCAGACTATTTAGAGTTGCGTAATCGAATTTAGGGTTTATCATTTTAATCATTCATATTCCGTATTTATGTTGGAGAAAATAAATCGTTTACACACTACAGTATATCATCAAATGATTGTAACAGAATTAGTGTTTAAATGGGAATCATATGTCCATAAATAATTGCTACTTTTGTTCATTAAGATATCTGATTTTTTTCTAAAGCGTGTGTATTTTTTTTAATGACTTGTATCGACAGTTCATATTTTAATTCATTTTCATTTTATAAAGGTTCTCACTGATGGTGTTACAAGTTGTATATATATATATATATATATATATATATATATATATATATATATATATACTGCTAGTTAGTGGATGAAATCCATAGCCTTAAAATGAAAATGATATTCAGTGAGATATTTGAATTAGTTCCTACTGTGGATTATATGTGTTTGGCGAATATTATAACCTTGTAGAGTGACTCCTCAGCGTTTCATGATAAGCATGCGAAGTTACATGAAACCGTGACTAGTCACCAGAATTTCGTGACAAAGCTTCAATAGGCTGAATAAATCAATTCGCTTGTGCTGAACCGGCTTGTTAGAATAAAGAAGTGAGAATAAAGTACTTTTCCCAATCTGAATTATCATCTTTATGTTTGGAAATTTTCTCAGTATTGGAAGTTTTAAATTGCATGTAAATTAGCAGGCATTTATTTTACTGTAGTCGACTTAGAAATCTATCATCATGCAACATATATAGGGATTTGTTTTTATTTCTTTACCTCCAGGTAAACGTCATTTGCGATATACATTTTATTGGATCTTGATTTTACTTTTATCACTCCTGGGCTCTACATTTCACATTGTTGTTGGGATCCGTAGCGAACAAACACTGTATACTAGATATAGTAAATATCTATTATTACTATTGTCACTTAAAATATTACCAAAAGTACTTACAAAACAAGAAATGCATTATTGTTAGTTCACATATGTCTTTTTTTCATTTCCAGCTACTTAGATTTGCGTCCCATCCCGAACAATCTCAGAACGCCACTGTTAATCCGCTGAATGCTGCATTCTGTCCGAAGAAGAAGGCCGGCCCAGACTGTCCTCCAACAGGAATGATACCTTTATCACCTTGCTCGAACCCTAAGATTTCGGTCCCTATATTTGCTTGCCAGCCACATTTCTTGGGAGCTGATCCAAGTATTCGGGCAGCTATGGATGGGATAAGAAAACCTGATGAAAAGCTTGATTCTACTGTATTACTTATTGAGCCTGTGAGTGACATATGTTGATATTTCGTTTTACTAGTTAACTACTTGAGCTGATCTTCAAACTGTATAACTCACTGATTGACTTATTCTTCCTGGTTTGCCTTAAATTCATTTTCTTAAATTACCATTCTCCTATACTGTACTAGTGCTAGGTTGAGAATGACGAAATTCATTTTATGTTTTAATACCTATAAACAACTAAAATGTTAATAAACATGTTCTGTCTAGAAGCAGTTCACATTTGTCACAATTTACGATAGTTCATACAGAGTATTTCACCTGTTACTCGTCTGCTTTCCTAATTTTCTCGCTCATATTAACTGATACCTTGTGATAAAAACAGACTCTGCCTGATCGTGTTCTTCGTTTTGGCGTTGGCTGTTTACAGTTCGCAGCTCTTATTTCCAATTTTGATACTATCTCAGTTAAGGAAGATGCTTTCATTATAGTTTGGTTGATATATAACTGTGTTCGTATAGTTTTAGAATCTTTAGTTACGTGGCAGTTAGTTGCGTTCTAGGTTTTTGAAGACGATCATTATTGGTATAATTAGAACCAAATAAAGTTTAAATACTCTTCCCAATAAGTCATTTGTGTGCTCACTGATGCTTAGCTTGCGAGACTAATTCTTCCTTATATTAGATGGTGGTTGGAGGTAGTCGACAGGAAACCCTGGACCCGGATTTCGTGCTACTTGGCATTTGTCAGCAAGGTGTACCTGTAATCTTGAGGGAACTGGTGCTCCCTGGCGGATTCGATCTCGTGTCACCCAGTTTCACAGTCAGAGACGTTACCACTGAGTTATCCGAGCCGCGACCGACCTCCTGTAGGAATGAGATGTAATCACAATTGATTGATCACTGGGTGGCGATCAATATCATGCGTGTCTAGTCCGCAGTGTCGAGTCACCTAGACTGGTGGCCACATTGCAACATGATCGATAGCATTCGATCTGCACTAATAAGGACTAGACACGCATGACATTGATCGCCACCCAGTGACCAATCAATTGTGATCTTCCTTATATATTTACAGATGTCTGAAATTTATCGCTATCCATTACAGTCGACTTATTGAGTATAATAGTCATGTCTCAACCAATCATTATCAAAACCTATTAAGTATATGTTATTTTTTCTACCTGGTTATGATGTTTTATTATAAGTATTACATAATTAGGGTTGACATTGTAAGTTCTTTGATTCGAAGTTTACATATCCAGTTATTTTGTAAATCAGAAATTTACCATAAATTGGTAACATGTGATAGTTTTCCTATTTTTTGAGATATTCACACTTCATGATAAATAGACATACATATTGTTCCTGCTACAATATAAGACCTAAATTGAAATTATTTTAATAAGTATGTAAACATTATGTTTATTCTTTTTGCTTTTTCTTAATACACCATAGAATACTGGATTTGTATTGGAAGCTTTTAAAAAGGTTCAGATTAATGCATACATTGAAAACGATGGCGGTTTGTAAGTTATTTTTAGTCATATTAAGAAAACTATAATGCTTTTTCTTTCATACACTACTTATTTTCAATAAAATTTGTTTGAATATAATTAATTAAAAGTCTCATTTTCAAACTTCATGCTTAAATATCATTTACTTCTAGACTGAAGTCCACTACGCTAAGTAATTAATATGACTGGGTTATGCACCGAAATACATAAAATCCTGGAGAAATGTAAATTTACATATGGTTTGGGCGTAATCTTGGTCTATTTTGTGGTGCACTTTCAACTTTAAAAGTGCAATATAATGATAAAAATGTACTTTTAATGCACCCTTTCTAAATATTTGGTCTACTGTTTCATCATGGCCAACTGTCTGTAGATATTGTTTGTTGAAGTGCTAAATGAATTCTTGATTAGTATTTAAGTACTTAGTTGATAGGTATTTAACCATATTAATATCCATCAGTTTAGTTTTCGCCAATTACAGGTCTCTGTATTTTCTTCCATCAACCTATGACTTGCTGTGAAGAGTGTCATTATTGATGTCTCATGACGTTCATCAACCAAGCACTGTTTTTGCTTATTTGATTCGGATTTCCGTTTGGACTTTATATAAAATACGATGTTTTCCAATATAAGCGTGAAAAAAGTTGTATACTTTTTGTGTGACATGTAGAAAATCCGTTATCGAATTAAAGCCTATTTAACAAGATATAAACATTTATCAAAAATTTGAAACAGTTCGAAAAGCCAGGTAACTAAATTCTGTTAAATATAACACAACAAGACTACATGACGGTTACAACCCAGTAGTTAACATAACCAGATATACGATTCTACAGAACAACTAATAAAATCAACATGATTTGTCTGTCCAGAGATTAGAATAAGCTCATATGGCGTTATGATGCAAATGTCACCACAAAACTGCGTTGATTTTCAGAACAGTTGCAATACTAAAATCATGGCTTCGGTTAACAGATTACTCATTCTCTCCATATTTCGCTTGTGTCCAGGTGTTTACATATTTCCTCAAATTTAGATTTCTTTTAATTCTAAAGGATAAGACTGATGGATGTTGTGCTTTTTACTTTTGTTTTTTGTGTAGGAATGAAGTATACCAAGATATGGCAGGACCATATTTCTTCCCCTTAGCTTGGTTCACTGAGGTACGTGATGATAGGAATGAAGATTTTCAATAATTGTTTTGGTGATGCAATATTCGTTATCACTTGTAATTTCTTAAAATTATTTTTATCATCCTGCTTTCAATAAATCAAGTAGTTCGATCACCTAGATATATTCGCTTGTTGGTTACCACAATTTCATAAGAAACGCATTAAGACAGTTTTCTCTTGATCAGTTTTCTACTCAAAACTCATAAAATTTACTAGTAACTGGTTTCTATATCCTACTAGAAAACGTTCGTTTTTTTATATAAGCGGCCTTCTTACATGTAATCCAGGATCGCTCCATTTAAGGTTTTAAAGTAAAGTTTTACTAAACGTAATTAGTCCAATCGTTGTGTTTTCAACTGAGTAAAACGTTTTCACATAGTCGTTACTGGTGGTTTATTTTTTCCTTGACGTTTTTATAGTCATTATAAAGGTGATTTAAAAAATGGGATATTGAAACATAACAATAGGTTCGAACATTTATTAAACGACGAGTTTCCATTACTGTTAAATCCATCGGATGTAATTAGGAAATACAATGTTCACTAATTTTCAGCATTAACTATCCAAACAAAAAATTTTTATTTTCATATGAACATGCCCTTCTAAATCAACCAAACAGTCAATTCAATAACACAAAACATAAATGATCAATAGCTCCCTTCACTTATTTATTTATCGAAACAAGTTTGTGGAACATTGTCATAATTTACGTACTTAAGCCTGTTACTGCCGACCTACCATCTCCACCTAGCTCTGTCCTGGGATGATCTTAGTAATTTTTCCAATGTCTGTTCATTCTTATGATGTCTGCCCCTATATTTCGGTACAATGTGTTCTTATTTAGAATGTTAGAACATGGATATGTCCTTACGAAAGCCTGTAACATCCTACGAAATCGATCCCTATCATCTTCGTCTCTGTCATTAGTAGGTACGTAGCACTGGATGACAGACATCGTAACCCCTCAATTCTCCACTTTTAAAGGTACTTTGATGATCCTAGAGTCGTGATTTATTACTGTTTTTGTCTGGACTTTGTCCGATGAGTTCCACTTGTTTGAAACACAGTCAGATTGCATCTCCTCATTTGTACTGCTGTCTGAGTGAGCTTCCCTGTCACCTACAATGTGTGGAAATTTCACATGCTTGTGCTAATTGTGGTTGTGGTTGTCAGAAGTGTGGTCGGTCTGCTGACTTCTGAAGAATGTTGGTCTCCATCATGTGAGGTACGATAAGCCGTTCAGTTGTTAGAAGAGAGGTTGAATTGTTCAGATGATTATTTGTGATTAGGTTTTTTTGTCGAGTTTCCTTTTTCGAATGATATGTTGGTAATCCTACACTCAACCTTTTCAACTACTGGGGTTTAGAAGCGGCAGTAACTCTAGAGTGACTACAGGTGGGTGTGAATTATTTTATCCATACATCTACTTGAAATTTAAATCATATTTTTTCACACATCCTTTTTTGCTTTTGGAATTATATTTAGAGTTTACGGCTATGTTGTTACTGTTTTGCTTTCAGTTTGCAGTGGCTGACAAAAAGGCGTTAAGTAAAATATCAAACTATATTCTTAAGCCTAAGAAAATAATACCTATTGTTTTATCAACTGTCGGTTCACTTGCACTTATATCAGCCGTCATTTTGATAGCAGTTCTATTAAAGCGTTATAAATTAACAAAAACTGATAGTGCTTCTATTCACGGTCAAGCTGAATCTACATTCATGCCAACAGATTCTGGGTTATGTAATAAAACAGATGAAAGCCCATTTGATCAATGGACTGTTAAACCTTCACCAGAACACGAATCTTTTCAGGTAAGTTAGCATGATATATTAAACGCTATTTAGTCAAGTAATTTGAATTAGTCAGTTGCAGATACTTCGTTACTTTTATGTCACTTCATTTTCTTATCAGTTCTACAAACCTCACTCAGTAATTAATTGTTTCTGAGTAAAGTGTATATATCAGTTCCTAATTATAGATCAATTCACTATTCATCAATTCAAGTATTTTATAGTAACATTTAGTGTACATCTGTGCAACTGATTTAGAAGAAATATGTACTATTACGTGATAATTTGTTATATCATTGTACCCATCGCAAATCCAAACCCTAGTTCTTCATTGATCTTGCCTACGTCATTTATACATCTTTTGTTTGTGGTCAACCGAATATTGGTCTATCAATTTTGTCTAAATTGCAACCAAGTCACAATTCTATATGCCTAATCATATCTATGCACATTGTACCAGGCTCTACGTTGCTTATGATTTATTGACATAAGTATTGATTATTTATCGAAAGTATATATAGTCAAGTTCATACTATAAACTGACCATCCAAGTAACTGAAAAGAAATAATAATAAATTCAGGATTGTAATGTATTTCAGCAGATTTTCGAAATACTCTTCTTAATCATTTTGAAGTAAGATTCCTGTCAAGCAACTACTGATGGCATTCATTATACTCTGATTGATATAATAAACCCTATAATAGTTTGTACACCAACAATATGTAAAAGTTTAAATAGTAACGTCTGAGGAAGCTTGAGTTTATTTGACTTCTATATATATTTATTATCACACGCTGCACATTTACGCGATTATAGGAAGAGGTTATCGACCGCCTGCAATCTCCTCCAGACAGAATACTTATAACTTCTCTGTAATACGTAAGCGAATTTGACACTACAATTTTTTATTAACGAATAAACCTTGCATAAAGTTGTCGAATCACACTCTTTCAATAACTGGGCGACAACATTATTTGTGTTAAACAATCACCCTTTTGGTGGAAGTAAGGTTCTTTCTGCTACTTAACTAACAATACCAATATCTGTTCGCTTGAACATGTCGTATTATTTGTCTTCTTTAAGTACGTTTCTGTTATCATAGACAATTCATTCTTATCTTTCATCAATCTATTGGTGCGTGGTAAAAAGTTTCTTGGTTAATATATACCTAACCGGTGTGCTTACGTTCCAGGTTTTCCTGTCCCCAACTCAATTTGATCCGTGATTTTTCTATAAAAAAATTTTATTCGGTGTAATAAACCACTTTCTTTGTCTGTTGATTGTTCTTCTCCTAATCCAAAAGTAGATGGATAACTATGTACCAAAAAACAATAAATAACTAATGATAATAGGTTTCTACCAATTTATTAAGTCCATTCCATTTTTTTCTGTAAATAAATATATACATATACATAACAATGCAATTAATCTTAATGGATGATAATTCCTGGGTCTATAATCGATGGAAAAATTTTTTTTTACAAATTATTATTTTCATTATTGTCACAAAATTATTTTATTCTAAGGTATGAATAGTTGCTGTTCAATATCCATAAAGTTGATTTTCAGTAACATTGAATCGAGCTTAGTGATGTTACCTGTAAACTTAATGGCTAAGTACCGCGATTCATTCATTGAGTAGCGTACAACGTATGGTTTTGTTTGGTCAAATGATCGTAGCCAATTGTAAATATAATCTGTGGACAATCTCCCCCATGTGAATAGCCAAAATAAACTTAAGCATACAACTATTTGATTGATCAACTTCTTCACCATGTCTACTTAAAGTTGGTAACAGTTTAATTATCAAATTTAAATATCTGTTCATCTTTCTGAAAATTCCAGTAGTATTTCTATACCTCTAAATGAGCATACGTTACAGCTTGATAAACTTTTATTTCATTGTTTTATTGCTGTGCTCTTAAACCAAGTTTTTACCGTTGATTTTGTATATAATCACAAGTAAAAAATTCAATTATCTCGATCCAAGTTAGGATTTTTTTTATGTCTGGTTTACTTTGTTAATATGGTTTTATTAAATAAATCTTGATTGGAATCCTAACCTTTTTAATCTCATTAGTACATATCTAATGTCAAGCCTCTAATTGTATGTGACATCAAATGTATTTTAAGACATTCAGGCATCATTTCAAAAGGTTTCTGCTGTATGTTTATTCACTCCACATTGTGTTACGTTTGTCATGCATTAACGAATATCAAGTGATTTAATTCTATCGATATTTATATGAAATTTCAATGAATGCAGCAGGCATTATACACACTTATGATAAGTTCAGGACCGTCAATCTAAATCAAATCGTATATTAATACTAGGTTATTATTTTCGCTTTGTATTATCTCTTTAATCCTTCACTAACCGCTACAGTCAAAGGAATTTTAGGCATCAGATAAATAAAGGTTTCTTCAACCTGCTATACATCAACATTATGTTTAATTGTTCACATTTCAAAGGGAAATTTCACTTATGTTATTGATAAATATTTGAGAAAACCACTCACTATTGCCTTTTACTTAACATGGTATTTATTTTAAATTACGAAACCTTAACAGTAAGCAATATCATATTTTATCCCAATGTAACTCTAGGGAGGTGTTCTAAAAGTAGACCATCTGTTGGACATCTTTTGAGTTGAATTCCTTCATGTACGTAACAAAGACATTTAATAATAACGACTGAAGATATTGTCGTACGTTTTACTGTATGTGGTTCTCAAATATGCACTTTCGCCTTGATGATATCAGTGTCGTTTTATGCATATGTCAATAAGTTTATTAAATTTATCATCCCTGCACTGTGTTACATATATTTAAATTCTTATTTCCATTTTAACATCTTTGTTGGGTGTGTGGATTATTTTTACTGCCTACAGGTTAGAACTTTAATAATGATGTGTTTTGGAAGGTCAGTATTATACTAGGACTATAAAGTAGTGCTCAATTTTATAAACAGAAGTAAAAGAAATGGAACTTTGTAATGAGATGCGAATACTTACACAGGTAGAATTCTACTGAGCTACACCTGAATCATATTTAAATGCTTTCATCACTTCATTTGATAATTCAGACATTTAATGGGGTTTAATCTTTTGTGTTAATTACATTCTAGATACCTACACAAAATAAATAAATGTCGTTTTGTTTTAATCTACAGTCAATTATTACTTTTCACATAAATATTCCATGAAGGACACAATAATCAACCTAACATTCTTGTAATCGCCCCAATTCTTATAGTTTAGCATTTCTCATTTCGTTAATTTTTTATCCTACTCAGATTTGTTAACAAACTGACTGAATCTTTTGTTTGAAGCTCAGTTCTGTTTGTATCTGCCCACTTAAAAAAGTGCTTGACCACTTCATCAAGAATGTTTCAATAGTTTCCCAAACTATCATTTTCTTTTATGTCAAAAAGTTCGACAGTTTCATTTTTGTATAATACACAATTTTACTCACCCTCTATCCTTCCTTCACCAGAAATATACTACAATAACTACCCTCTTAGTTAAGATTGATTTACGAGTTTGTTAATCCAATCTTAATTTAATTGATATAAATATAAATTATTACTGCTCGAAATCCATTCTTAGTATCATTTCTATTTAAAAATGGAAATTTGGAAATTTTTTCAATCTTGAAAGCATTAAGGAAGTAACACTGGTCAACATTATGCTCAATTGAATCTTCTATTATTCTTTATATTCATCTCCGTTTTTACTGCTTTCAACTAGTTTGATATAACTTGCTTATTCTTTCTTGTAGAATATGAAAAAGAGTGAACCTCAACATTTCTTTATTCAAATCGGCTTGCTCGCTCCATGTATATATTTAATAATTCTTTTGTAACGTTATCATCATATTTCCATCTCTTTTATGTTTTACTAGGTTATCGAATCAAAACCTTTGCTCAAACCTAGTGATACAGGTGGAAAAACAGTTGTCTGATTTATTTATCCTCGTTGCTGTCAATTCGTCTGTTAGTCCCCCAGCTACATATAAATGGTGCTCACTGTTTTCGCGAAACCAATCGAAGTATTTTTTTATCAAAACAAAGGAATATGAAATGATCCGATTTCATTCTTCTTCTTCTTCTATTGTAGTGCTTCCCGTAACCTTATCCCAGTGCTCATTGAAATTTATTTCTACATTACACTGTTTATTTCAAATGTATAATACAATAACCATATCCTAAACTTTTAAACTTTAGAAACCAGTCCGCTGACTATTCGTACCTTCTTCTCTCCAAGAAATGTAACCAATCTGTTTGTTGATTTTCTTCTCGCCTTTGAGCTTTTTAAGGCTCAATGCTTAAAGCTTATTTAGGTGCTTCCTTTTTTAGCCTATATTAGATTTGCTGTATGCATACGATTATATATGTACTTTATGTCATAATGGATCTTTAACTGCAACCGGATGTTTTTGATATTTTCTCTCACCAACATCCCTATCAAAACTCTATTCTATCTAAGCATAATTTTCGCTCGGATCATGCTTTTCAACTTCCTTCTACATTGTATTCAAAAAGTTACTCCGTTTATTCTTTCTAAGAATATGGTAACTCTAATTTTGGTTTGCGAATCAAGTAATTAGATTATATATTTTTGTTATTTCTGTTCACAATTTGTTGTATTCTCCTTATTCATATTAGTGCTTTACTCCTCATGCCGATTCAGCCACTGTGTCCTATCTATCGTTTTTACAAATACTGCCTTTTGTTTGTATTCGCCGCTTTAATTAGCATTTGTTATATTATAAAAAATCTTGTTTTTTTATTTTCAACAACTCAATACAAAATAGAGGTATTGGATTTCAATGATCTTTTCAAACGTTTGATGTAGTTGATATCAATTTTCTCCATGGTATTTGTGTAGGCAGTATAGTGTTCAAGCACTACAGCGATGTGATAGGTGTTTTGATAGCTGTTTAAGTGAACTTAGTTACATTTTAGTAACTGTGTAAGGCGATAAATGCACAAAATTTCTGCCCACATGCATACAATATTCAAATGTGTAGGTTGGAATATAATTCGTGTATGCTCTGTGTTTGTCAAAAGGAAAGTTTCTATTTTGCTTAATTTTCTGTATTTAAAAAAATGTCTCGTTTATTTAAAAAGCAGACGTCGGTGAAATTACTGGAAGTGTATAAGATGTGCTTAATGAATCATAAATCATAACACCGATTTGTTGGAAACGGAAAGATACTTCATGATCTTTTACTCCATAGATTGCGAGGATGGTTTTAATACTGATTATTTAATCCCACCTTTTTTATTCAAATAATGACACTTCGTTATCCAAGCATAGTATCTACAATACAGTGCGTCAGATTGGGAGTTTTCTACAGGAACTTATTTACATTATGTTATATAATGTTTGGTGATATAAACGTCAGACTGTGTTATCAACACACCATAAGTCGTAAACAATTCATGACTTAAACAGGGTTGTATTTACGCTACTCATAATGTAATCGTTGCTTGAAAACTCTATGAATGTTTCCTCTCCACTTATTTTATTATATCTTCTCTTTCGATTAAAAATGTTTGAGTTGTATTCTAAGTGCTATCGTTGTTTTGATCAACTTGACATTTTATTACGATGATGGTATTTGTCGCAAGTTACTGACCCAAATAAATGTTCAAAATAAAGCGGTTCAAAAAGTTTAAACCTTGACTAAGTAATTCATCACGGAGAGCTTGTCAGCACCATAGCTGAAAAGCTAGAAAACAGTTCATTTTATAACTCTTCCTGTTAAAAAATTCCTTTTTTTAATGAAAATTATTGCTTCTTCATGTGTTCTCAATAGAGTAGTAACTAAATCATTTCATGATCATGTAATGTATACAAGTTTAAAACGCTTCAAAACTGAATTATATTTTGATTAGATTTGTTTATTTACTTATTCTCTGAATAAGCGACTTGCATTCAGCCGCGAATTTACAGAAATTCATTTTTCTACTCGTTAGGATATTTACTAATTTGTCTTTATTTTTACTAATAGCAGTGAATAGTTTGTTCCTGTTAGTTGACTTCAGTTTATGGCAAAGCTATCATGACAAATTATCTAAAGTAGTGTACTCTATTACATGTTTGTTCATCGGTTATAAATAGTGTTTACTTATTACCATTTAGAGTAAAGTAGAAATGAAATCTTTATATTCATTCAATTCCACCTCTAAATACTTAGTTTATTGTATTTTCGAAAACTATAAACACTAAATATCAAGGTATGAATAAGGCAATATAGTCTAATCATTAAATACAGAAAGATTTTAAAATAAATTAATGAAAACAGTAAATTATAACTTTCAGTGAGCACAATTGGTTGCTTTGACGGTACACTAATAATTTAACTGAATTTATCAGTTCATGCGAAAACCATTGAACAAGGCTGAGAAAAGATTCTCTATGAGATTTTGTAAAAGTGATTGGATTCTTGGTTAATATTTCAGGATGAGAAACATACTAGTCACCAAATTTAAGTTACGTTTCGGGGATATTTGTTATCAAGTACTTTGATAACTATTTATATATCATACAGAAGGAGAGTATAATCAAACTTTCTTAGTCACTAAGAAATTGTACTTGTTTCCCAGTCCAAATTTTTTATTGATCTATTAATTTTAGCCTAATCATTAATAACTTCATATTGATTGCTCTTTTCAATGTATGCTCTTATCAGAATTATTTGATATAACTATGTATTATACTGAATAGTCATTTTGATAAACATTATCTCAAATAAATAACATGAATTGAAAGAGAACCAAAAATTAATTATTGGGTACACCGTCTCAAAAACCGCTACAACAGTTCATACACAGCAAACTAACATTCGTCAACCCTTATGACAGGCAATTTATTTGATGTGTTATGGAAAACAATGAATGTTTGGCATTGATCGTCGTTCATAATTCGATGTTATCGGTGAAAAAACAACAGTTTTCAAGTGAATTGAGTACCTGGATTCTTTTGGGCACCACTGACGTTTATGAACTAAACTAGTTCAATCACAAGATGTTTTGAGCATTTGCATCACTCATTAGTAGACTATTTAAGCTGGATACCAGGGGTATACACAGGTGCACATAATATTGGTTTGTGTTGAACAGTAGGTCGAATTTTGGGTTTATGATACGTGGTTGGGTATTACACTGACAAAAATCATATTCATACCCATAGTAGTTTAGTTAACGATCAAGGGCACTTACATTTAGCTCATTTGAGAGGACAGACCATGTCGAAAAGTTTTAATGTCAACATATAATTAGATTTTTCTTTTCAACTATTAACCTGATATTAATAGACTTCTATCCTTCCATCTTGGTATGTGTGATATATAGTTCCACTGAACAATCAAAACGGAAAAGTCTTTGGTTTATCAAGATAGACATATTAATTAAAAAAAGAGAATAAACTAAACTAATTTAAATGTCAAACTTTTCTTCATGGCTCAGGGTCATTACGATTCTTGTTTACAAAATATGAAAATATTACCATTTAGATATCCACCTTGTACAAACAATTGCTGTGTTTGTATCAGTTTTCATCTTGGTCTGATTTTTCTATTTCATGTTTACTTAGTTTAGTCATGTGATAAATAATCTGAAGAGTTATTATGAAAATAACTTTCTTTGTCATGGTCATATAACTACTAAACTAAGTTTCTATCTTAAGCTTCATGAAATGATAGTTCTTTCTTAATGGTGGAAAAATATCATAATTCAGAAGATAACGTTGGTAATATATGTTCTTCATCATCTATTCTTTGATTATTAAAAAGGCCAAAACACCTAGGTGCAAAGATTCATTGAGAGATCACATCTCATATAAAGATGTAGAAAAAACATATTTTTTGTTGACAAAATATGTAGATTTTAGAACTATTTGAAAGACTGTCATTAGGTAAATAAATTTTCCGTTCTATGAACGACTTAGAAAATGTAAACTATTTTTCTGTATGAACATAATACGTGTATGCTCTACGAAACAGAATGATGAATACTAACCATTTGGTTGCAATTAATGGCAGTAAACTAATTACAACTTGATGACCAAATGGATAATATTCTCTGGATCAGTTGAGTTCCACTTTTAAAATTAGGAACATTGAGAAAACTTCTAATGATAGAGACTAGGACACAAAAAACATGAAGAATTTCTACGATTTCAAAAATGTTATTCCTTTTTCCAACGAGGAAATCAGTAAATAAGTATAAAATTGGGCTGATTGTATGGATTTTATTGAAAATGTTTAGCAGCGACCCCATTTATAAAATTCACACATTAATATTCGAAAATAAATACATTGTCTTTACATCAGATCGGGTAATCTTATCTTCTAACCGGAATAATTTTTGATGCAAAATAAATGGGATATAGCTAGTAATAGGAGCCGGTGCATGTGATTCGTCGTATTTGGAGCTCGTCAGCTGAATTGAAATAATATTCTATTATCACAGCTCGTAAACGTTAAAAACGATCAGTATTATTGTAATAAGAAGACCTGGTTTATCCTTATTCGCTTTATAGAAGTAGACAGCCAAACTGAAGAAAATTAATGCTATATAACTGTTAAGTATGTTACTTATTATTAGAAAGGGGTTTTGTGTATATGATAGTAATTGAATAGTTGAGTTCATGAGTCAATTGCAGTTAAGCCACCATGGAAAACCTAGAAGAGTGGGAATCCTCTGCAGTGCGCATCCATAAACCCATAATGGTGGACGGTGGCTCAATTTCGTGGATTGGTTGAGCTTAGACATTAATACTGTTGGGTGCCAGCTCAGTGGTCCAGAGGTTAAGCGTTCGCGCCCGACACCGGTAGGCACCGGGTTCGAATCCAGCGGGGTGGGATCGTGGATGTGCACTCTTGAGGAGTCCCACACTAGAACGGAACGGCTGTCCAGTGCTTCTAGGTTTTCCATGGTGGTTTAACTTCAAATGACTCATGAACTCAACTATTAAATATGTTAGTGGTTATTATCATATAAATTAGATGTTGAGAAATGAGAAGAAATCCTCTAGCCTTGAACCAGTCAGATAGAACTAACATAAGTGAAAAGAAACCTATACATCAATCTCAACCTTGTATCCAACGCTACACGAAAATCCCTAAGAGTTCGTCAACCAAAGCCAGAGTATTGATTCACGCATTCTATAACTAGCTAGATATCTGCTTCAGCAAGAAACTAAAATCAGAGAATTAAGCGATGATCACGTTATGCAATTCAAGAAGTCATTAATCTGTCAAAACATCACAGAGTGAAGTAGGCTACATAACGTGAACAAACTCCTTCATACATATATGTATAACAATATACAAAACAACTACTTTCCCGAAATTATGAATAATAAAATGTTGTCGGAAAAATAATACGTTAATCAAAGGACTACTAATTTATTATTATTTGAATACCACTAATAGTATAGTTGAAATTCGTCACACCATATAACCGATTTTAAATCATATGAATCTTGACGATAACGTTGGAAGTGATCATTGAAAGATTGAGTGCCTAACCAGTTGAATCAAGTTAAATATTTCTTTGGTCCTTGTTCCTCTTCAATACAGTGTATTTTGAATGCTTAATTTACACAACTACAATACTAGAAACTTCGTGATATAAATCAAAGTCAACTAGATATACTTGCCTAAACAATTATGCTGATATTTGGTTTAATTATGTTCCAGAAATGAATATTTAGTCAATCTAGCTAAAGACCCTTCATTCTTTTGTTTATTTTTAATCATATTTTAGTTTAACTAATAAAAATAGTGAACCTACTAACCCGTATCTTAAATAGATTTT